TGGGCTATGCGTTTATATGTCTGAGGTGCCGCGGCATGCACAAAATGGGAAAACAGGACACAACAAGGTTTGGAATGCTTGGTACATGTATGTTTATAAAGGTAGGCTAATATGTCCAAATACAAAAGGATTTGCATGGAATCATGCAAATACATTCTGTTCATGGAATTTTGAAAGGTTCCATGATTGACTTAGTAGTTTACGATAAGGAGTTGAAGTTTGTACTGTAGTGTGACATGTTACAGCAGACTGCCAGAAGTCATTAAGTCCGTCATGTGTCTGTGCTGGGTCCGATGTCCACAAGCAGGGCGGAGTCAGACCCTTCAGTTCTTGGGGTAGATAAGTGCCAATAATTTTTTCGGCTGTTTTCAATAAAATTTTCCTTGAGAATGAGAGCAGTCATTTAGCTTGAGGTACCCAGGCTAAAGGAGGTATTTACACCATCAATCGCAGAGGGTTTCCTCATCATTCTTCCATTTCTTCCCAATGATCGCACCGTACCGTACATTTGTGTGCATCACACAGTGCACATGCAGTGACAACTAAGGGCCACTGTAGCTGAGCTAGTTTTGCATGTCGTTTTGACAATTTTTGAAGGTGGCAGTGATTATGCACCTGTCAATTATAATCCCATCCCCGGGGGACCCTGGACTAGCGGGGACTTAGCGGGGAAGATAAAACAGGGCCAGCGTGATAGTCCCAACCAAGTCCTCGTAATTTGCCCGGCCAGAGCGGGGCACCCTTTTTTGTATTCCCCAATTGATCCCCGGCCCCAGCATGCTGGGCATCATTGTGGTAACCCCCGCGCAATCCTGGGGCTGGTGTGCCGGTTGTTGTGACCAATCCCTGCACCATCCCTGCCCCAGCGTGCAGGGTTGTGAAGCAACAACCGTACAACTTAAAATAAGTAACTAATAACTTTCATTAATTTCTAAAAGTCCCCTACTCTTCTGGGACATTTCTAAGATGACATCAAGTTGTTCGTTGTTACGTGCTGTGTGGAGACCAATTGAAACGCTCGTTATGTACATGTGGCCATGGCCAGTGCCAGCCCATGAGACAATTATCAATTATCACAACACTTCATTCATTTATTGAAGATTGATCAAGATAACCAATGATTTGAAATGCATCGCCAAAAGACATGTGACTAATGCTACCTAGTTGAAAGATTAAATTACCTTATGTGTGAATCATTTGGCAGTCCATAGAAAGTGGGGGCAATGTTTGTAAAAAAGAAAGGTCTGTATTTTGTACGCACTGATCCAAAAATGAGGTGTCATCTTTGTCAGGTTTTCCTCTGTCAGGGTAGGGGAAACAGTTTGTATTTCATATCGAAGGTCAGTGCTATAAAATTTTACCGATAGACGGTGTAACAAATTGTACAACCCCGGCCAAGTCCCTGCTATCATCTGGGTCAGCAGGGAAGCCATTGTATAACCCTGGCCAAGTCCCCGCTATCGTCCCGACCGGGCGGGGCACCTTTTTCTTGGATATCCCCAGGTACGTCCCTGCTACATTTTCGAAAGTCCTGGGTCCCCCGGGGCCGGGATTACAATTGACAGGTGCATTATTCCCATCACAGCTGGCATAGCACTGATGGTATCACTCCACTCACACAGCTCACAGGCCACTCATGCAATAATACCAAGATTCCACCCCCCCCCCCTGGATATGGACAAACTGACCTTGCTAATTTGGCTATTGGCCCGTGCATGTGCACCGAGCATGTGATGCACTCATATTGTTCTGTACAATGTGATTGTTCGGAAGAAGATGGAAGATACGTGAGTAAACCCTCCAATTTTTCAAAATAAGATTGGTCTTAAAGTCTCAACAACCAGCATGAATTACACATTTCTCAAGAGCTATATGAAGACCTGTATGTTAAGGTTGGTCTCACGTGAAAATGTGGTTTAAAAAGTTGAATTTGTGTCACCGGTCATGATACTTCAAAGGCTGGATTTAAAAAACAGACAGAATTGCAACCCCATATAAACAAACATGGCCGCAAGTCACACAGATTAGGGACTTTAGAACATCCTGTAGGTAGACCCCACAGTTCTTGGGGTAAACCTCCTAAACTTGGCAAAAATATCTTTTCTCCATCAGTCATGTTCTTATTCTCAGCCTGAGCCTGTCACCTAGCCCAGATTGGAAAGCAATTTCAGTCTTTTCAGTTAGGGTTATGTACAAGTACAAGACCTGGGTGGGACCATGAGAGGGCACAGTTTTCCTGGCAATGGAGGCTTCTTTGATGGGAACTGCAGCACAGGAGACTATGAAGTACACACGTCACGGTTGCATCGCTACCAGTAAATGAACTCTCCCCACCAACATGCATGACATGGCTCTTATCAACCAATGAGGGGGTGGTTCTGCTCAAGACGGATAGACCTACATGTACATTTCAGAAAGAATTCCATGATGTATGATGATGTACACTTACCAGGCTTTTCTTCCCACCTCTCAAACTGAACATCTCTTCATTGTCTTCTTCACTCATTATCATCTTGTAATTGGCGCTAAATGCGCTGTTGGATGATCAGATAAATAAATAAAAGAAAATAAATGTTGATGTCATATGGATGTGGCTTGACACCTTTTGCACAAATAGACCATGGAGGAAGAAACCTTATGACACTGATGTGAAATGTTCAAGTGTTTTCTAAGTGAATACCAGCAACATTTTCACTGCTAAATTTTGACCTTTTAGGACACTTTTTTATTGCTTTGAGATGGCTGGTAGTACCTATACTAATATTGTTAGGTCACTCTAGGGAAATATTGGCATCAGTAATGGATTTCTTTCTGTACATGTACGCCTACATCTTGACTAACATCGAGGATATCAAGTAATTGTGCTATTGCATCTTGACGGTTGAAAAAATCACCCAAAACCCCACATAAACATTTGAGAAATTCTGTAAACTTGACAATTTCTATTATTACCTCAATTTACATACACTTAAAAAAAATTCCATCGGAAAGTTGTAGTGGGCGAGTAAAATCAGAAGTTTTGAATTAGATTAGTGGGAATTTGAAAGTTCACTTACTTTGAAATTTGAGCTAAAAATGTTGCTCTGGCAAGGCACTGGATGCCAAAAATCAAACTGTGCCAAAATTGGGGGGCACGCACTTAGGGGGCTTCAACAATAAATAAAGGAGGTTGCTGTGACAACAGTAAAAGCTGAAGGCTTTGTTGCATTGTTTTTGTTGTTATTGTAGGAGGAAGTCATTAAGAGAAGATGATGGAGCAAGGAGTGGCCAATGAATGGGCAGCATCAGTGGAGAGCACAGAACTGAGCAAGTTCCTTCCCATCTTCAAATTATTCAATGACAAGCTGGATTACATGTGTCTTAATGTCAACCTTCCCAGATCCTTCAAAATCCACCAGGAGATTTGTGGAAGATTGAGGAAGGTAGTGCCCAGCCCAGCCTTTTTGAATTCAAATGGGACTTGATGTGTCTGTTGAATTTTAGAGAATGTATCATTCTGGGGAGGATTTTTTAGGATTCAGAAAGGTTTCCAGGAACCACCATCTTTCTACAGAATGCTGTCCTTACGTCTTGCTGCTCATTAAAATAATCATAACTTTGTCTACACTTTGTCAGCTCTGACAAGTTTGGCCTCACAGAAGATGATGAAGATGACTCTGATGTTAGCCGTAGCACAGACAGTGAAGGTAAGTACATATCCTTTGTCCAAAAACTGTGTGTAAAAGGCCCTAGATATCAAAATGAACGATTCTATACACAAACTTTGTACTGTGACTTCCTTTGTCCAACAAATTTGACCATTCAATGCAGCTTTCCACTAAGAAAAGGTACTGCTTACATTTTTATTCATTTTTTTCAATTTTTAATGATGAAGTCACCACTATATATGTTTTAACTGCTGAGGTTAACAGTCGGTGATGGCATCCGTAGTTTATCTCATTTCTGTTCTTCTCAAGAAGCGGGCTCAAGAGAGACTCAAGTTCCAGTGAGGACCCAAGTGACAGCCACTCTGACAGTGATGAGGAGCAAGAACAGTGGATGGAGAAAACAGCAGGTAGAAAAGCTGTCACATGTCAGTCATATTTGCTGTCTGTGAAGAAATCAATTTTTGCAGGCAGATTTGGCCCTGGTACTTTCTAATGTCTTAACCCTAAAAGAGCCTGGTTACATTGGACCACCTCACAGCCCGCGGCTATCCCCCATGAATTGGGATGTCCAAAGCTGGATTTCTTTTACAAACTTCATATGCATGACTTTCCTTCTCAATACAAATATTGAAGTTTTATCTCAAACTGTCATATGGTTTGACAGTCATGTGGAAGTTGGGAATGGCAGCAGAAAAGTATACATTATGGGTTGACCTCACTCAGAAAAGAATATGCTGTACAAGAACGGTATGTTGAATTTTCACAAAAATTATTTTAAAAAATTCAGAAGGCTTCAGGAAAATATGCACCTTGATAATATTGGAAAATATGTTAAAGGGAGGTAGATTCCCTCTCCCCTCCCCGAGCTCCTTAGGGTAGAATTCAGAGGTTCTTCAAGACATTTCCACTCACACAGCCAAGAGTTTTCACAATTTGTAAAGTTGGGAAAGCAGTCACCGGGTACCCCCTGTTGTTTGTACATGTGTCAACTGGCTGAAAATAGCCCTTTTCCGAATCAGCCGGCTTAGGACGACAGAATTACATAAGTCTGTGGCAAATGACTGAAGCCGCTCACTTGTGGCTTTAATCATCTAGCCTCAGCCACACCTCCTGGACATCGCCATTATTACAATGCATGCAGACATAACTTCGCCCTTTTTGTTACTGTATTTTTACCAGGTGTTGAAGGTGATAGCAGCGTGGTTGGTCCCCTTACTTTGGGCTCATCTTCTGGCATCACTGCCCTGTTAGAGTAAGGAGATAGCAGCGTGGTTGGTCCCCTTCCTGTGGGCTCATCTTCTAGCATCACTGGCCTGATAGAGTAAGGAGATAGCAGCATAGTTGGTCCCCTGCCTGTGGGCTCATCTTCTGGCATCATTGGCCTGATAGAGTAAGGCGATAGCAGCAAATGATAGACTGTACAGTACTTTTAACCCATTTGTCCTTGTACAGGGTTCCCACAGTCATTGAAAATCCTGGGAAAAGGTTGTCCCAGAAAGTCATGGAAAACTCACAGAAAATTGGTCTGAGGAAAAGTCATGGAAATCAAGATCGTACAAGGGTGATTTTGATGGTAGTTATGGATAGTGGCTATGGCAGTCTTCCCGTTTATTATACCAAACAAGTTTTTTGTGCAGAGTGGCATTAAATGCCATGGAAATTGTCCTAGTGTAGTTCTGGAAAGTGCAGGAAAGGTCACTGAATTTGATTTTCAGATTTTGTGAGAACCTTGCTTGTAACAATCAGGACCCAATTTCTCTGTCATGCTTACAGGGGCTCTGCATATTTCCTGCATACCGTAAATAGTAAGTACAGCCAAATGTATCCTAACCTTGGAGGAAAGATTTCCGTAAACTTAGTGATGTAACAATAGAACTGCATGCAACCATTTGCACAACCACCCCGAGCCCCGCCATGAAATAGTGCTCAAGGTTAGCACATTTTTCTGCTAAAGTTAGCACGATTTTCCTCCTGACTGTTAAGAAGCCCCATGAAATTGGGCCCTGACCCCACCCAGCCTGTTACAACCTGCACTCCTCAGCACTGTATGGTTTTATGGATTTAACAGCGACCTACAGTAAGAGTCTATGTGGTGACAGGTTGAAACGTGAATGTTTTACTCATTTGGGGAAAAATTATCATTACAGTGTGACTGAAAAACCTTATGTGACTTTTTCTTGTTTTGGGTCATTTTTCCCTGTGTTTAGATTTAGGAAGGCCTCATTGCCAGGTGAATGTACTGCCATGGCTGCCTACATGAATGTTGGGGCTGGCTAGCGTCATGGTGTGAGTGGACTGGCTGATGATATCTCCAAAGTGAAGAGGTAGGTTATGTCATAAGTAGCATAGGTAAGAGTCCCGTGTTTAATATCATTGCTGGCTTTCTGCAAGGATGAATCAGGGAAAGAGGGAGAGGCCAATTGGGGTCATGACCAAAAAGGGGACAAAAATTGTTTTCATTTGAAAAAAATGAAAGGTTTTCTAGTTTATATAATTTCCCTTCTTTTGAAAAGTGGAAATGTAGCCCAACTCCTCAAACAACTTTAAATATTAAAAACAAAAATTTGGCCCCCAGAATCGAGTTTGACCCCACTCCCCCCCCCAAAAAAATGGGTGCTGGATCCAACCTTGGGTGCTTGTGGCTAGCTTTTAGGGCAGCCCTGACCTAGGGACAGTTGTGTGCATTGTGTCAACCAAGCAAGATGATAGGGATGAGGTTAAACCCTTGTAACCAGGGTAAGCTAGTTCACCCACTATAATTGGAATTGTTCACATTTTCCTGGCCTAAAGTTCCTTTTCCTTCACGGTTTGTTGCTGTTTCATGACAAATTACCAATGATCAATGGTCCACATTTCCTGAGACATGTTCAACATGTCCAAGGAGCAATTTGGATTTCATAGTTTTAATAGAAAAATAATTAAATGAATGTCTTATCACAAACGTATTAACAATACCTTTCGACGGACAACAGCAGGGGCATAATTTAAGAAAGGTCTCCGTTTTTAATAACCATGAGCAAATGGCTTCCTTGCCCCCTGGGGTTTCATGATTTGCTGTGCAGCACTGCTCTACATCAAAGAAAGTGGATTGGGAGCAACAGTGGCAATTGTCCATCATGCATTATTTGGCCCTGTTCTAACCTGGCAAAGTTACATTTATCTTCCTCATAATATTGCCCATTATTACAAGCCTTCAGTAGAAGCCATGGTGCACATTATGTCAAATTCAGATAAATTCCTGACATCCCTGTTGTTCAGTGAATATTTTGAAAAGCAAATTGAACATATATGTATTTTCTCAATTTTTATCTTATAGAGCACTGAGAACTGCGTGTCCAGAACATTTCAAAAATAAAGTCTGAAAATTAAAATCACATGCATTATGGGGATTTGTTCAGGCTTTTTGAAGGTGAGCAATGAATATGGCCAAAAATTTCAGTGTTCAGAGCTCTTATTTAAAGAAGGATCTACCTTAATTTGACAAATATTGAACCAAAACACAAAAAGGGACCACGTTGTACGGTAAACACTTAACAGTATCTTCAGTCACCATTCAAAATTTCTGATTTGTATCCAACTCAACAGACTTGTGCTTACTGTTGAAATATTTCTGCCCACACTTTCAGCATCAGTCGCTGATTTCTGTAGAAGGTGTTGGTCCATAGATATTTTACATGTAGGTTTGATGACATTACAGTATTACTGTAGTGCCCTCACTTGTTAGGAAAAAGGAAAGACAATTTTAAGTGTTCAAAAATGTTACTTTTTGATTCACTAAACCCTAAAGGGGTGTCTGGAAAAATATTTTTAACAAAGAGTACAAATCACAAATGCTTTCAGAAGTAACGGGTCAGCAGTGTCAAAGGAATACCCTTGTCATAGTTCATTTTCTGCTATGAAAATGGATGAAAAGCAATAGACACTAACGGTTTTTATATGAATAAAAGGTGTAAAAATAAGGAGCATACAAGGATTCTGTAATTTTTGAAGAAATGTGTCAATTTTTGCTGTAACGTACTTCCTTTTGTGATCAATTTCTTCCCCAGACCACCTCATATGAAAGCTGAGGGTATGCCCCAGGAGAAGCAGATCATGATGCTGATGAGAAGAGCGCCCTCGCCTCCTTCAACCGGGACAGAAGGAAGATGGAGGACAGGATCCTATGGGACTTCACAGAGATGATCCATGAGAATGTCTAGGAGAGGAAGTGACTCAGATAGATGGCAGTCCTCGCCTCCATCACTAAGGAGGAACTGTTTCCAAGATTGCATGAAGGATTCTCATCAGAATCTTACGCATTGATTCACAAAAGGCAAGGAAAGGACTCAATCTTCAAGTTCTCAGAGATGTAGGAGCAAGTCTATCTGCATTTGTACACTACTCAAAGGGTCATACGTAGTAATTAATAATCTAAACAAATGGTATTCACATCGCAAAAAATGAGCGTAATTTAATTTGGCAATTTTCCGGCATCAAAACAAGAAACTTCTGCTACAGGGTACTGAAGTCTCGCCACACTGAAAAAAAACCTTGACCTTGTCCAGGTCCTTTACGGCCCTGAGAATGATGCGCACAAAATTGAGTTTTAATTAACCAAGTAATGTGAGGGCACTGTTCATGAGTAAGAATGATATTGCGGTAATGTGAGGGCGCTGTTTATAAGTTAGAATGACATTGTGGTAATGTGAGGGTGCTGTTTATGAGTAAAATGATATTGTGGTAATTTGAGGGCGCTGTTTATGAGCAAGAATGATTTTGGGGTAATGTGAGGGCGCTGTTTATGAGTAAAATAATGTTGCGGTAATGTGAAGGCGCTGTTTATGAGTAAGAATATTGCGGTAATAAGAGGGCGCTGTTTATGAGTAAAGTGATCTTGCGGTAATGTGAGGGCGCTGTCTATGAGTTGGAATGATATTGCGGTAATGTGAGGGTTTGTTTACGAGTAAGAATGATATTGCTGGAATGTGAGGGTGCTGTTTACGAGTTAGAATGATATCGTGGTAATGTGAGGGTGCTGTTTACGAGTAAAAATGATATTTCTGTAATGTGAGGGCGCTGTTAATGAGTAAAATGATATTGTGGTAATTTGAGGGCGCTGTTTATGAGTTGGAATGATACCGTGGTAATGTAAGGGTGCTGTTCATGAGTAAAATGATATCGAGGTAATGTGAAGGCGCTGTTTATGAGTTAAAATGATATCGTGGTAATGTGAGGGCGCTGTCTGTGAGTTAGAATGATATCATGGTAATGTGAGGGCGCTGTCTGTGAGTTAGAAAGAAATCGTGGTAATGTGAGGTTGCTGTTTATATGTAAGAATGATATTGGTGTAAATTGAGGGCGCTGTTTATGAGTTAGAATGATATCGTGGTAATGTGAGGGCGCTGTTTACGAGTAAGAATGATATTTCTGTACTGTGAGGGCGCTGTTTATGAGTTAGAATGATATTGTGGTAATGTGAGGGCGCTGTTTATTAGTTAGAATGATATTGTGGTAGAGGGCGCTGTTTATGAGTAAAATGATATTGCGGTAATGTGAGGGCACTGTTTAAGAGTAAAATGATATTGTGGTTATGTGAGGGCGTTGTTTATGAGTTAGAATGATATCGTGGTAATTTGAGGGTGCTGTTTATTAGAATGATATCGAGGTAATGTACGGCACTGTTTGAGTAAAATGATATTGCTGTAATGTGAGGGCGCTGTTTGAGTTGGAATGATATCGTGGTAATGTGAGGGTGCTGTTTATGAGTAAAATGATATTGTGGTTATGTGAGGGCGTTGTTTATGAGTTAGAATATTGAGGTAATGTGAGGGCGCTGTTTATGAGTTAGAATGATATCGTGGTAATTTTAGGGTGCTGTTTATTAGTTGGAATGATATCGTGGTAATGTGAGGGCGCTGTTTATCAGTAAAATGATATTTTACAACTTCTTTTGAGGACTAAAAGCTTGTAACTATTTCATGCGTTTAAAAACGGTGTTCCCATTCAGGCAGCCAAAATGCCAGCACTGTTCAGTCAACCCAGTGGTAGTTCTGAACCTCGCTTTTAACAAGTTCGCCCCCAGTACAGAGATATTGACAAACGGGAAACAGTGACATAGGGCTGGATACAGTTGGTAGAGCACTGGTGCGGTGTTCCAGAGGTCGCAGGTTCAAATCCCACTCCAGTCCATTTCTTTGTTCATCTTTACAAGTTTTTCCTTGGACAAAATTTTATGTGCATTTTGTATTTCCAAGGTGTACATGTACATCCACATTGTCCGAGCATTACAAAAAAGTCTTTTAAAATTAAAATTATCGCTAAACTGCAAGTTGGAAATTATTGGCTCAGTGCTGAAAGGTCATTACTGCAAAGTGTAATTGTTGAAAACACGAAAGAACTATTTGATTTAAACAGTTTTCATTTTTTAGAGATAAAACTAGTTTTTTTGCAGCCAACATGTTTAAATTTTAACCAATCCTGTTTCCCAAATTTATGTCTAAAACTATATTTTTCACTAAACACCTTTTAGTGCATTCTAAGGACCTTTTAGCATAAACATGAAATTTGTTTCATTTGAAAATATTACCTACAAAAATGCTTTGTGTATGTAAAACAATCACCATTTATCGTTACAACCAGTTAATTTCTGTTTGCAAGTGAAATAAATGCTCATTTCTTCAAACTAGTAGAACAACTTGTTTGTACATGTTTATCTATTTGTAAAACTGTAGTACTTTACCACTTAACCCTTCTCCTACTCTGGACCATGTTACACTGCCAGAGTTTAAAGTACATCTATTTCCATCTTTAGATTCTACATTACAGCCTCATCCTACATGGAAGCCCTGCCAGTCTCATCCTTGCTCCTTATATAAAGTTCCCTCTTTGTGCCTTTTAGTCTCAATCTTATAAGGGCTACAATAAACCCAATAGCAATATGGAACATTAGGAAGCTATGTCCTTCAACCCCATGGGATCCTCAGAGCTGTAATACTGACAGTCCCAAGCCCTGAGCCATCCACTCTACCCTTCCTATCAGCTCTCAGACTTCCAGGCCCTCAGACTTCCACCCTTGCCTGTCTCCAGTACTGAGTTTGGCTGAAAAATATTCTAAGTCCAAACAATGGAAGGTTTAACATTTAGAAACGAGCACTTTTTTTCAAGAAAGTGCCATGGCATAGTGGTTAAGGACACTAACTGCTATGCACAAGGACCTGGGTTCAAATCCAGGTGGGCATGCACAATTTTGCTAAAAAACTTAGTAAAAAAAAAAAAAAAAAAAAAAAAAAAAAACCTTCTTTTCCAGGGACCCCTGGGTTTTGAACCGGGGTCCCTTGGCCTGACAGCCAGCTCGCTGACCACCAGGCCACAGTCCTCTTGATAGAAATAATTTCGGAACATATATTTAAAGGTTAAGATTGCGCAATTACAAAAAAGCACAGCTTATTTGCATGTATTTAAATAAAAAAAAGCAGAAATTTGAATATGCCAAAAAGAACAGACAAAATGTTCAGACCTTGCATAAACGTAACTTGTAGGTCCACAATATATTTGCAAGCCTTTCTATTCTCTTCAAAATATCCATATGTACATGTAAGTTATGTTTGTCACAAAAAATTCAACTGAAATTTCAGGGCGTCCGAATTTTTTACTTTTTTGGGCATATATAAGAAAGTTTAGTTGTACACCTGCGTGTCTATCTTGGTATATATATGTTCTAGGAACATGATGAGCATTACAGGTACCTCCTTATTTTGAACAAGAAGTTCCTACAATCTGACGAAAATTATGCATAAAATCTTGAAAATGCAGGAAAAGAATGAAAAGCAGTAAAATGGTACAACATCAGTTAATTAAAGGGGTAATAGTGATTACTTTGTGCAAACATGAACAGTATGTATAATGGACATTTTGAAATGTCTCAACTTGAGTGAACAATTTGTCTAATGCTTTGTAATTTTTATTTACTCGGATGAGACATTTAGTAAAAGGAACTTAAAACATGCTTAATTTCTTTCTCTACAGACAAAAGTACACCCTGAGAAGCAGTTCTAAAAATATGGGTTTGTTGTGTAAAAAGAAAATGTGCATTTTCAACTAAAACATCTACATGTACTCATATTCTCTGTTCCAAAAAGCCTAAACTGTTCCAAACAAGACAAAAAGTCTTAAACCATGTTTACCATCAGAAGATTATCTATACACTTTTTTTCTGCAAATCTAATCTTTGAGCATTATAGCATCTGGTTTGTGCTGCCTAGGTTTGTCAAGGGATGCCCAGGCTGATAACAGAGCAGACAGGAACCACTTCGGCCTTGCTGATGCTTTTTGCCTACAGGAACAAGAAAAAAAAACCTGAGCGTTTCAAGACATTATACTGAATAAATGTAGGACAGTGGATGTTTAGTCATTGCCAAATTTAACTAACAGTATTTAGCAGACTACAAGTAGACAGCGCCCTCTGTCCTACGAAATTAAGCCAGTAAAGATCATCTGATTATCACAAAATTCAAACTATGTTCGGTAGTCTGGTGAATAGCGTGCACATTTAAAATCACAACCTATGCTCCCAGCTGGATGAGTTATATCCAAAGGTGTCATCTTTTTTCATCCCAGAAAATAAAGAATGATTTTGGTTTTTTTTTTAAAATTGACTCCAACATTTCATAGCAGAGTGTAACATTTTCATGTTATTATTTGTGGCTCTGGAGGATTTTTTTAGGGCAAGAAACCAATTTGTGACAAGTCGCAATAATTTTGTGAAAGAAGAACCAGTCAGAGTACGAATTTTATGTTGGGGGAAAAAGTTTCTGTGCATTTGCCTGGCACAATATTGTTTAGTAAAACTTGGCAACAATGACTAAATATCCAATGTCATTACATTAGATTGAGAAAACTGAATGGAATGACAAGATTGATTAAGAAAAAGCTTAATTTGTTTTTCAAAAAAGTGCTGTTGTTTATTTTGCAGCTCAGTGTTTTACACTCCAACCTCATCAATTTCTTTTAATACCAACCTTCAAAATGCACCTTTGTGCCTCAATTAATCTTCTTTTCAAGTTTAATGTCACAATATCCGAAGGTATTTTTCCACCTTTTCAGGTTTTTATACAAATGACGAATATCTCCATGTTAATGAGCAAAACTGTGATGTCATCCAAGGATGAAAGCCTTAACTGCTTTGTACACAAATCCTGCAGTTTAGACTTTACTGGACTCAGGTTTCACTTCTTTATTGATGCTATGTGCATGGCAACAAGAGAGCATGAATAACTCGCTCAAAAATGTTTTCAGTGAGTAACCTCTGCATTCACAATTTGAAACACCTACATGTATGTACACAAGTGTTCCGTAGATGACTTCAAGCAACAGCTCCCTCAGTTGTCCAGGAAAGCATGAATAATTTTAACTATTTAAAAACAAGTTGTTTTCGATACATTTGATAAAATAGGATTGCAGAAGGGTTTTCATACAATAGAAGAAGATGCAAAGTTGAAGAAAATTTGTGTTAAAGAAAAATACGTCCCGGCTACCCATTTTTAATGGGAGGTCCGTGGGACTACACCGATAACCTTGTACTATCAGGAGAGATACCAATAGATAACAAAGGATAGGGACCTAGCAATTCCCTTGTTATATTAAAGCAGAATGTTATATTAACTGTGTTCTCATGACTGAGGTTTGATTTTATTTGTCTGAACCCTAACAGAGTCAGGAAGGGGGGAGGATTAGAATCTGCCCCTCCTTATGTTCCAATCTCTTCACAGTGCATTTTTACACACCAAGCCTTAAGGAAATTTTCTAGTAATATCTTCCAGTTATTTTTATCCAAATTTGGTGAAAATCAGAAATATTCGTTTCTCCTGCTGCACTTATTTTTTCACGAGAGCTCATCAGCCAAAAATGTGAACTTTCCCCACAGATGTGCATGCAAGCCAACACAAACGCGGCCCTCAAATGACAGAAACGATAAGCCCCCATATCAGATGAAATTGACGCTTCCCCTCTGTACTGATGAGTGTGTCTATACACATGTCAAGTCTAAAAAAGATTGGGCAGAGGAAAGCCGAGTTTAAAATGGGGAGAGGGGATGAAATGGTCAGAAAAAAATATTCTATGAAATTGTCTGGGAAAAAAACAGCTATTCTCGGGCTAAATATTTGTTTTTCAATTGCCAAATTTTCCAAAAGATTTTTGTACAGCACCTTCGCCTGTGAATTCAGTGTAACTCATTTCTCTGAAGACATCAGAAGAAACAACAAAACCAACATAAAATCCTCCCCTACAGAAATGTGGGTAGGGTCTGCTATTGAATACCTACCCCAAACAGTCGCCAAATATGCAAATTCCTTTGCGTCTGATTCAATTCGCTAAATCTTCTGATCTACAGTAGTGCGCCCTCATGTCCCATGACGCATACCGGAATGGCTGCCATGTTCGTCCTTCTTTTCCGGTATAAAAACCGTCCCAGCCAAAAGTGGTGAAGGATGGGCGGGAGCCGACTGTTTGGGGTAGGCATTCAATAGCAGACCTAACCCACATTGCTGTGGGGGAGGAGTCTTCTGCTTTCAACATACCCCAAACAGTCGCTCAATGTGCAGAGGAGCACCGAGCCCTTGGAGGGGGGTGTGGCGAGGACGCACTACATAATGAGAATGCCAGAGGAATAAGAAATTGTCAAAATTGATTGCGGACTCATCACATAATGGAGTTGTTATGTCGTTCTAGTGGTGGGCTGCTTCGATGAGGAACCCTTCTGTATTAATGTGGCCGATGTTAGGACCGTTCTGCCATGTGCGGAGTCCTTTTGTAGAACTTCGGTGAGGTAGCATGTGGTGAGGGTAGATAGGGTCTTCCAGCATGCTGCCTTACATATTTCCTCCATTGGTATGCCCCTGAAGTAGATACTAGATGTGGAAACTGCTCGGATATCATGAGCCCTGATGAGGCGTCGTGTTTCATTGTCCACAAAGTTTGGCCATCTGGGTAAGCAAACTTGATGGCTGAAACTGCCCATCCGGCTACAGTGTCTCTGGTCACAGCTCGGTGAGGTTTTATTTTGGTGATGAAAAGCTGCAAAGTTGTACCTCCGAGTTTCTTGGTTTTGGTTAAGTACCATTTAAGAGTCCTCACTGGGCACCATGGTTTGTCATCGGGAGTCCCACTTTGTGTTTGCTGATGTCTGGTACAAAAATGTCAGGAGGACCAGCAAGCAGTTGGTAGACAACTGACAAGTTCCATGAAGGAATCAGTCTCTTAGTTGGGGGACGCTCAAGAAACATTCCCCGGAGTAGAGGTTTAAGAGCAGTATTGTCGGACACACTCAACCCATCTGGAAAGCCATCGTGTATAGCTGCAATGCCTGACCGGTAGTTACGGATAGTTGAAACCTGGAGATCTGATTTGAACAGGTGCATGAAGTAGTCGAGTACAGAGGTCACAGAAACTTCGGCTGGAGACAAACCTCGCTCTGAACACCACAAAGTAAAAGGTCATAATCTGGAGTCAATAGATGCTGCGTGTAGACTGGTGTCGACTCTTCAAGGCCATTTCAACAGCTTCATCAGAAAGTCCTGCTGATCTGAAGGACTGCTTAATAATAGCCAACAGGTCAAGTGTAGTGACATCAGATGAGGGTGAAGCACGCCCGACTTCGGCTGATGTAGCAGGTCCGGCCTGTCAGGAAGGATCACCTGTACCTGGGTGAGAAGTCTTGTCAAACGAGGGAACCATGGCTGGTGTGGCCAAAAGGGGGCGATGAGAAGGACGCGGCAATGTTCCCTTTCGATCTTGGAGAGAACTGACAGTATTAGGGATACTGGAGGGAAGGCGTACGCTGACATCCATTCCCAATTGATTTGAAGATTGTTCGTTGCCCAGGCTTGCGGGTGGTAAAATCTGGTGCAGAACACTTGCAGTTGGGCATTTTCTGCTGAGGCGAAAAGATTGATGTTCGGTTTCTCTATTTCGGTGAAGATCTGCTCGACTACACTGGCGTGCAATGTCCACTCCGTGGGATGTAGCTTTCCCCGAGAGAGAACATCTGCTATGGAGTTGTCGACACCAGGAATAGGAGTCGCCTGGAGGTGGATGCCATAATCCTGGGCCCAAAAGGAATATCTTTCTCGTCAGGAGGCATAGACAGGGAGAATGTGTGCCTCCCCGGCGGTTGATGTATGACACCACTGTGGAGTTGTCCGAGTGGACGAGGACTCATTTGCCTGTAATGCTTGGGCGGAAAGCTTTCAGTGCATTGAATATGGCTAGAAGATCCAGTATATTGATGTGATTCCCTTGGAGCTGGAGGTCCCATGTTCCCAATGCTTGAAGCGGTGGTAGGGAGGCTCCCCAGCCCAGATGAGAAGCGTCCGATGTTATGGTTATTTCCGGGTTCACCTTGGGGAAGGGGAACTCTGAGAGAAAGGTGCTCCTTCACCAACCACGACTGAAGATGGGGGCGGATGAAGTCTGATATGGGGACCTGGAGATTGATTAAGTCCCATTTTGGCCTGTAAAGCGCTAAGAGATGAAGTTGCAGTGGGCCCGTGTACAGCCTGCAGAGGGGAATGAGGTCCACCATGCTGGCCATCAAGCCTAGGAGATGGAGCCAGGCGCGGGCCTGAGCAGACCGCTCAGTAGAAAAGACTTTCGCGCAGTGAAGAAGATTGTTGATGCATTCGGTCGTCGGTAGGATTATGCCTCGTTGAAGGTTGATAGATGCCCCTAGATATGTCGGGTATTGAGTTGGGGTGAGATTCGACTTCTCGTGGTTGATGATGAAGCCCCGCCAATTTGTGATGTTGCAAGTAAGGCGAGTACAAACCTCTGCTTCGTTGAACGATCTGCCGACGATCAGCCAGTCGTCCAGGTACTGAAATAGCATGACGTCCCACTTTCGAAGGTGAGCAGCGACTATCTTTGCGACCCTCGAGAACACTCTCTGTGAAGTGGACAGGCCGAAAGGAGAGCCGTTGATTCGAATTCCTGTTGTACAGGAAGTGTACATGTAGGTATTCATAGCTTTGAGGGTGAATCAGAATGTGGAGGTAGGCGTCTTTCAAGTCTATCGAAGAGGCCCAGCATGGAAACTGTAGAGATTGGGTGATCGTCCGAAGGGTCTCCATGCAGAATTTCTTCGCGCAGATACAGCAGTGCAGAGGTTTGAGGTTGATAATAGGACACCAGCTGTTGAGTTCTTTCTTTCGAGTGAGAAAGAATGTTGAGATGAAGCCTTTGTTTGTTTGAGATTTGGGAACCTGGCAGATAGCATGTTTCCGAAGGAGAGAGTCCATCTCGGACTCCCGTGCCTGTTGTTTGTTTTTGCCGGTAGGAACTGGAGTCGGAAGGAGGATAGGTACAGACGGAGGGGTGCTCGTGAATTCGAAGGCATATCCCTAGCGAATGGTTGTGAACACCCAGCTGTCCGATGTGAATTTCTCCCAACACCGACAAGTCTAAGATCGCGGGTGGAGTCAAATCTGAATAGTCAATGACGCCTACCCCCTGGAGGTTGGGGGTAACGCAATCGGTAGTTCTTCCTTTGAAGCCCCTCTGGGGTGGCTTGGTAGGCTGAGAGGAGGATGGACGGCCATGATTCCTCTGGTGACTGGGTTGACGAAAGGAACCATATTAAACTCTCCTGCCGGGGGGGTCTGAAGGGCCCAGCCCTGTGATCATCGGGACAAGATTGGCAAGGTGGTGCCACCGGTGGAAGGTCACGGAAGGTAAGTTTACGTTTTGTGTCAATACATTTAACTTCAGACTCCATCATCTCCATGAACTTCCCTGCAAAAAGGTTTTTACCATAAAGAGGAAGATCCTGAAGTTTTGACTTGATTCTCTCGTAGGGAATGTTCTTGGCGTCTAAAGCATTGGATCTACGTGCAGAAGTGGCTAGATCGTAGATCCAAATGAACTGCTCGAAGATAGAGTTGACACTCTCATCGCACGCTTGAAGTGCGACAGCTGCCAGGTCAGGGGTAACTGGTGAATCTTCGTCACACGCTAGGGCCAAATACTCAGAGAGGAGTGCCGTAAATGTGATGCAGCGAAGGCCATGTCGTGAGGCTTTGTCGAGTTTAGCAAGAGTAGACTCGACAAAATACTTATCCTTGTCTTTAAATGGAGACTTTCCTGTAGGTTTGTGAGAGTCAGAAGAAAGTTTACCTTTAGCCTCCATTGGAATCTCAGGGACAGAGAGGACATTATCAGAGTCCTCCCTGGCAAACTGGAAATAAGTCGAAGCCCTGGGTGGGTATGGATGCCATTGTTAGCACCGGCGAGAACTTCAACATCTCAAAAAAATCAGCATTGATGCCTCAACCTAGCAGGATGGGGCTTGAAGGAAGCATGTGAAGAGGCCTCAGCTGTAGACTGATTGGAAGGCAGGCCTAATATGTGGATCATATCCTTCTGAAGAAGACGGAGCCGTGCCTCAGGAGGGTTAACGTTGGCTGCAGAGGAGATATCCTCATCTTCAGAGGGCGTATCCCGCTTGATCCGAGGAAGGAGGAACATCATCATGTCTTGTTGGGTGGCCAGGGGCCAGAGCAGGAGGTAAGTTGTAGTCTGTGCCGGAACCTGAATAAGTTGAAGGGGTGAAACCATCATATGAAGAGCGGATTGCCGATGAACGCAGGTTCAGATGCGGATTCGGACCCAGATGCGGGTGTATTCACGTGCAGATGCAGATCCGGATCACATCGCAGTCGCCGCGGGAGCAGAGGTGGGCTCTAGACGGCTGGCTATAGAAGAGAGCTTCTCTGAGAGCATGCAGACTGCTGACATGATGACGGCCGATGTGTCCTCCTTCTGCAAGGAGTGAAACTTCTTCCGCTTTAATAGAACCTGTGAACGAAGACGAACAATGTTTGCGTTTCTTGCATACGGGTGAACTGGTTTGTAGAGCCAGCGGTCGACGCCTGGTGAGTTGGGGCATCGGAGGCCTGCCCAGGCTGCAGTAAAGATACAGCAGGATGGGGCTGGTGAACTGCAAGGGTAGAAGCAGTCTTCTTAGAAAGGCCCAAGAGGACGCCGGAAGATGGGGTTGACATACGGAGGTCGAAAACCCCGACGGCGCAGGAGGCCGGTGGGCTCTGTTGTCACGGGCGCGGGTGGTGATGAACCTGCAAGGCCCGGTATTGTCCTTGCAGGTAGCACACGGAGGGGCAGTGTTGTGTTGTCTTGTGGAGCGTCAGCGTCTGTCATGGCCGAGTGCCCCGATTGAAAGGGTGCCTGAAGACAATGGCACCAGGAGTGTTGCGGCCGGTGTAGCCAGTGTTGGCGGCGTGGGGCCGCTCCAGCGCGTAGACTAGTGAGCCATGCCAATGTCGGTGTTGCCCACGGTAGCTTTTCACCTGGCGTCACCCGTTCAAACACTTCGGGACTGGGACACAGAAGTGTTGCTTGCGCCCAGACCCAGCAAGTGGGGGGATCTCAACCCCGAGTGCAGCACCACTCTGCACTATTGTTGACTGCGATGCTTCGGTGTTACGTTGGGGAACTGACCATACGGATATCGCACACACTGCAGCCCTTGAAGTGTGGCCTGGGCTAACCCTGAACTGAACCAAAGATGGTATTGCCAGCAGGGATTAGCAGCAGGATCACAAGTTTAGCAAGATGCTACTCGATATTCCGCAGACCGACTCCTGTTAGTCTATAGGGGGAATGTGGGGTCGCGAAATTCCGAACGCTCGCACTTCCTCGCGAACCCCCACAAACCCAGGGTTGCCCCGTTGACCCTATAAATATACCAAGGAAAGAGGGGGACTGCGGTATCCGATCGTTCGCACCGCCTTGCGGAACCCCAACGATCCCAGGGTCACCCCGTTGACCCTATGTATCGCTTGGTAAAAACAGCATAGAGTCAACGATCTATAAAATGCACACACACGTAAAGAGAAAATATACCACCAAAACAAGAAAATGTACACATAAACTGAGAAATATAGAATGTACGTTTACTACAATACGTTACGGTTGGATCAGAATGTCACAAAGGTGTGTAGCGAAACGGAAACTCGATAAACTCGAGATGTCAAAAAGATGCGTCCGTTTAGAATCACGCTAGGGAATAGAAGGACTAACATGGTGGCCATTCCGCTATGCGTCATGGGACATGAGGGTGCACTTCGGTTGATCAGAAGATTTAGCAAATTGAATCAGACGCAAAGGAATTTGCATATTTAGCGACTTTTTGGGGTCGGTTGCAAGCAGAAGACTACACAATCTGTTCATTACTTCTAACATCGCCCCAAGGTCTGTGAAAGAATCTAGCACTACTTACCCACACATCTTCATCCACAAAACTGATTCTTCAAGATGGCAGACCACTGAAACTGCAGCACTGAAAGAAAGAAGGGAATAAAAAATTGAATAAGCAATTAAATGCAATCATTGATGTTCGTAAATAACTCCAGAAACACGACAAATGGCTCAAACAAAAATCTTCAAATTTACCCTGTACCCTGCCATGTGTGACTACTATGCATGATATTTATACTGCGACTAGAGTAAGGATTGGTCTCTCAATCCTGGATGGTGTCAGGCTCATGTCCACCTGCTTTTTTTGTTGCTAAAGCCAGAACTAGGATTGGTCACTCAAGCCTAGATGGTTTCAGGCTCAAGTCCATCTGCTGGCTGTAGGAACAACCAAGAACAGATATGACCCCTTTCCATCGTTAGTACAGAATACTACTATGCAGCTCTAATTGATCCCACTGGAACCAGTATCCCTTGGTCACACCATCCACATCACCTACAGTTGACAACTCTGGCTTTTGGCCTGTTTCCTTCCACCTCAGGACAGGAGCAAGCAATGGATCTGCCTGTTGGGCCTTCCTCAAGTCGTCAGTATTCCAGCTAGGCACATGGATGATTTTACATTGCTTTGAAGAAGTGGGGTATCGAGACAAGGCATCCACATTCCCATGTTTGGTACCGGCCGATGGACAATCTCAAAATCGTAGGCACTCAAAAACTCTATCCACCTGCCTATCTACCCTTCCGGTTCTTTGAAGTTATACAACCACCTTAAGGACCCATGATCCGTACAGAGGGTAAAATGGTTTCCATAGAGGTAGTTTTTAAAATGACACACATAAGTGACAACAGCCAGAAGTTCTTTCCGTGTGACACGATACTGCCTTTCTGCCTTGCGCAGAGTTTTACTTGCATAACAGACCACCTTTTCTTTGCCATCATGTACCTAGGAAAGAACCGTTCCAATTCCCTGGTTACAGGCATCAGTATCCAATAAAAAAGGCTTGGTGAAATCCGGATAGGCCACAACAGGACTAGTGGTGAGGAATGTCTTCAGCTGCTGGAAGGCCTGCTCACACTCAGCAGTCCAGATAAACTTGGAATTTTTCTGCGTCAGATGATGGAGAGGAGAGGCAATCCGAGCAAACCCAGCAACAAACTCACGATAATATGAGCATAGATCCAAAAAGCTTCTGACGTCAGACACACTACAAGGGGTGGGCCAGTCTCCAACCTTCAGAACTTTAGCTGGATCAGTTGCTATGCCAACAGCTGAAACTACATGCCCCAGATAAAGAACTTCAGAATGAGCTAGGAAACATTTGTTCGGCTTCATTTTTAATCCAACATTCTGCAATGCAGTAAACACCTGTGACAATCGTTCCAGATGTTCTTCAAACATTTTGAAAGAGATGAAAACGTCATTTAAATATATGAGACAGATCTTCCAATGCAGGCCATGAAGGACAACTTCCATCAATCTCTTGAAAGTGCTGGACGCATTAGAAAGACCAAAGGGGAGGACATTGAACTCAAATAACCCAGCTCCTGTAGTAAATGCTGTCTTGTCTCTATCATCAGGATGGACCTCAGTCTGCCAATAGCCAGATGCCAGATCTAAAGTTGAAAACCAGCAGGAATCAGCTAAGGCATCTAAGCTATCATCAATATGGGGTAAAGGGTAAACATCCTTCTTGGTGACCTGGTTAAGACGTCTATAATCAATGCAGAACCTCCACGTCCCATCCTTCTTTTTGACCAAAACTACATGGAAGCCCATGGACTATGCGAAGTTCGAATCACGTCTTGCTTGAGCATGTCATCTACTTGCTTCTGAGCATCTGCCCGCTGACTATATGGGAGAAGTCTAGCCGGTTGTTTAATGGGCTGAGCATCCCATGTCAATGCGACAATAAAACTGGTTGGTCCTCCCAAGTTTACCATCTTCTCCCACAAAGGCTTCTTGATGCTTCACCAACAGTTGACCCAAGGAATCATGTTGTGCAGTCGTCAACCCTTTAGCACTTCTATGAAGGAGATCTACAAGGGATGGACTCAACACGGTAGATGGGGATGATCTAATTTCAGACACCTCTGGTGAAACTTCAGTGGCGTGATGCACAAGGTTAATGTTGGTTCCCCTGTATATAATGAGATCTGAGGGGGTTGGGTTAATAACTCGCAACGGAATAATAATGTTTGTGGATTTACTAATGTTCTACCTAACACAATTCCCGTCTTATTTTGACACTGTGGGGTGGTTTCAAAAATCCCACAATCGGGCAGAATTCCCTCACATGTACATTACCAGGCAAAATAACTTCAGTTTCTGAAAGGACTGTAGTTGTCTCTGCCACACTCACTCGACAGCATTTAGGGTTATCGACTTCCTTGAGTAAAGTAATGTCATTGTTATTAATAGACAATTTAAATTTTGCAAAATCAACGACGGCATAGTATGTCTCAAGAAAATACATGTATGAGCCCAAAATACTGGGCTGTGTAACATCAGCAATGACAACATCATGGTGCAATCGCATAGAACCTATACGTAGTGTAATTTTGGCTTCACCATATGGTAAGTGCATTTCCCCCAGCAGTCACCAAAGGTGTCGGATGAGGTCAAACTGTCCGTTTAACCTCCTCTGGAAATACGTTCTACACACTAGAGTGAATAATTGTATGTGACGAACCAGAATCAAGTAAAAATCTGACATCACAGTTATAAATCTTAGCATCAATGTACATTGATTGTCCCCCAGAAAAATAATCGCTTTGGGCCCGAGTATCATTTTCCGACTGAGAATTGGCCCCTATCCCAGTCGAAGTTCGTTTTCCTGCTTGGACTGCCCTCGATTATCATACCCTCTTGGGTTAGTGCCGGTAGTTGATATTTAATGTTTCACTCTGTGGACAGTTTGCCTTGAAGTGCCCTTTTCCGTTACAATTCTAACAAACAAAGTCCCGGGATCTTTCACGATATTGACATAACATTTCAAACATTTTTGTAAGCTGCTCAATCTTTTTGTTCATCTCTTCGAACCGACTCTGCATATCAGCACAAGCGTGGATCGAGGAAGGACTTTTGTCTTCGTCAGAAGGTGGCCCTACAGTTCTTACTGCAGGTTGCACACCAACATTTTTATCCTCCAATGAAATCAGAATTTCTTCTTCCATGGCAAAAGTGAGTGCATTATCTAATGTCTGCGGCTTTTTGCGTCTCACTTGAAGCCGAGTGTTGCGAGAATCTAGGGCTTCTCAAAATTGATCTTTGGCAATATCATCCTTTACTGCTTGAGGAATGGAGGGATATGCTCGGTTGGTCAGTCTACCAATTGCCCCAGCTAATTCAGATAAATTTTCACTCGATTTACGCACCCTAACTGGACCTTGTACAAATCTGTTTGTTTGCTTCCATCAAATTGATTCTGTAACGCCTTGACAACGACGGAATACTTGGTATGATCTTCAACAGGCAAGTCTGTATAAACATGTAAAGCAGCACCTCTAAGTCTCACTGCTAGGAATGTACATTTCTGACTTTCAGACCAGCCATTAATGTTACTGCATAATTTAAAATTAGTCAGCCAGTTCTCTAAACTGACAGATTGTCCATTATAAGGTTCAGGCATAACCACTGGTTTTGGTTCTCCCAAACCGTATTACCACAACTATCAATGTTAGAATGGTACGAAGGTGGTGGGGTGCGTACTTCGTCAAAGTACGGGGTGGACGAGCTAACTGGACTTGGTATTAGGCTACCTAATTCAGGATCTGTATCCAACGCAACCTTTTTGTACGAGGTGGCAACTCGATAGACTGTGTAGACTGATCTACCTTAAACGAATGTCTTACTGATGGGCTAAACTCATAACATAAAAATGACTCCCTTTTGGTGGAGCCAGCCTTGAGTTTGGGTGTGGAGGGCAGGTTTGGAGAGGAAGCCGCATGGGAGTCACAAGAAAATGCCTCTGTACCAGTCACCAAAGAACCCTAAGTTGCACCATAAGCCAAATCAATCTCATTTTCCAATGCCTTGATGGTATCTTTCAAAAACTTACGTTCTTTGTCTTGTGCTTGCCAATTTATAGATTACCACCTTCAGCCATTTTTAGTTGAAATTAGACCGGTGTTATTTATTTATTATTATTATTAACATTATTAGTATTATTTTAAATTACCACAATTTTTAAACAATACGCCAATTACTAACAAACATACTTTGGTGCAAAGTGTAAGTGTATATACAATCTTTATCATCCAAACTCACGAATCAATCTGCATCAGACACAATCTCGGTGAAAAAAAAAAAGGGCGAGCACAGTTGATTTAAGCAAGCAACAATAGTGAAAGAAACTAATATTCAGTTAAAATTACCCCGGCCAAAAATTGAAAATGAAATCCTATAGTTAATTTATGCATTCTGTCCAGCAATTATAATTATGAGTGAAGATATGGCACTATGAACTTTCAACATCGTGAAAATGCAGTTTTATCATTAAATCACCGTGAAATTTTTGTCAAGGCAATGTAAGCCCGTTTTCACGGTGGAAAGTTGATCAGCTTGGGAGCGGATTAGCTCACAGCAGTTTCACGGACTTTTCACGTCAACATCTTGGTAGCTTATGGTCCTATTGTTATTCATAACGGTACACCAGTCCAGCTTCCCACCGTGGAAGGTGTGAAAACAGCGGATTAACTGTCGAAGCGTAGTAAAAGATAAGTGTGATGGACAGCCAGGAATTAGCGCAGCAGTTACCAACAAAAGGAGCGATTGAATACCCCTGTTTAGGTCTGTGCCTCCTGGAACCAGCGGAAACCTTGCATGAAGCAATATATAAAATTCCACGAAACTTGGTGTTAGATGTCACAACACCCCCCCCTTGACCACATACCAGAAGACATAGACGAGTATTTCCAACTTTTGTGGGCAAAAGGCACATTGAGTGGTGAAGTTACCACAACGAATTATGGAATTGCCAAAAGACTGTGAAACTGTATACAAAGTGGTGGAATAACAAAGCCGACAATGTAGCATCAGAGCGAGCGAGGATAGCAACGGCGTGTACATCATTGTCCAATCCAGCATCGTGCATGGACAGGGTTTGCACGTAACGTTTTTCTCACTTGCCAGCTGGACCAGCAGTGATGGCTTTTTACTACCCCATAAGCAGAATTTTCACTAGTCCGCGTCTTCCCCCAAATTTCAACATTCTTTTTGGCACCAGTGTTTTCTGCTCCAACATCATGCATAACAGTATGCAC